TTAATCCGCGTTGCCACGTGACCACTGAACCATTGCGACTACAGGAAGTTGTCTATGGCTTTGCAGCAGCCCGTTGATCGGGAAGAACATACACGGCCATCTTCAGATAGCTTTATGAGTCATGTTTGTGTTATTACAGTGTATGTAGGTCACGGCCATCCTGTCAGGTTAGTAGTTCGTTGTAAAATACGCTTCGCACAGGGCATCAGTTGAGAGGTATGTTGGGTCCTAGCCGATACGTTCAACTTTACCATGCAAAAACTTCGGTGAAGTTATTCTATTTCCCTGAAATTTAATCGTATAAGGTAAAAGGAAGGATTCTAAAAAAAACGTTAATCTCTGTTTGGCACGTAGAAAATTGCTACGTCGCTAGGAGCTACAGTAGCAAATAGTCGGGCAGACTTAATAGAATATATAGTTTTTTCGACAGCAAATATTGGCATTTTTTTAGCTGTACCAACAGTTAAGGTCCTAGGTAAATGATATTTGGCCATGTTTATCTGTCTGAAGCCTAATTACGACTCCATTCCATACGGAGAAGTATTCCTGATATAAAGCAATCACGAAGTTCGTCATAAGTAACTTCAACCTGCCTTTTCTTAGACTGCCTCGACGTAAAGGAAACGATCAATGATTCGATGTTTTGAAACGGTTATGTATAACGAATAAAAATATTAGGGATCATTATGATAGCCACCGATGTTTGTCATTTGAAAAATTCCATTCGCTCCTTATTGATATAGAATATTACATATTATATCATACACATTCCTGTAATAGGTAGAGCTATGTGGAACGTTATAGAACAATATTCGAAGCAATTCTTCGTCCGTGTGCGCCTTCATCAAGCTAGGAAAAAAGGGTCTATGATGAAGTCGAAGGCAATGTACTTACAAATCAGAAGCTGAGAAGTTTTTCAGGACAGGGTTTATAACGGTTTCCCTAGTAGGATGATGACTGCGCTCCCCGAGAAATTATTTTCGTTAAGTGTTTAAAGAAACATTTTGCAACGAACCAAGTATTTATTTGTATACATCTTTTATGAATGTATAACATTTACTTATTTCCTTGGATTTATTTATTTATTTATATATTATTTAAAGTGTAACTATCGTGTGAGTACCCACAAGGAAGAGATTTTGGTAGGTGCCGTCAAAAGATCTAATGTCGAAAACTAATTCTTGTGCGTAAGATTACGTTTTTTACGTTGAACGTATACTATCGTATATGTAAATCGCTTGACCCAACCGTAATCCGTTGAATCGTAAAACCCAAACTAAATTGGCTAAACAAAATGTTTTTGCTTTAATAATTTCAAACCACTGGTTATGTTGTGTCACACAAGAACAGAAAAAAAGAATATTTACTGATCCTGACTGCTAGTATATAGAGCGAACACTCGTTGCTGTCATTGGAAGCTCTTCTGTTTGATCTTGATCCGGGATAATCGAGTTCACGATATCCATGACATGGCTCGTTTCGTTTAGAAGAGACGCCTTCATGCAGTTGCATAACGTTTCATGACAAATTTTTAGGACTCCTTCATGATCGTGGCGAGGCCTCTAGGTGCAAAAAAGACCGACAGTGGCTCCAGTGAAGCATCCCGAGATGTCTAAGGTCTCCGATTCAGCATGATCGGAAATGTCCTTTTCTGGGTTGATGGAGTAAACGCAAATTATTCTGACAGCTTAATTTATTAGCGTGGTGTATCGAGCTCCGATTATATTTTTAACATTACCCGACTAACGACCTCCACAATGATGCCTTTGTTTATGTTACACTGACTGACATCTCTAATCGATAGCTTTTTTTCCTCATAAAAAATACTTGACATTATAGTGCGGATTAGCAGAGCGTTTATTTCGTGGTCTGATAGGTTCGTTTTGTCGGAACCGTTGTGCTGGTACTTCATCTTTTTTTCGCTACGGAAGTCTAGCCAAGTACAAAAGGATGTTGCCAGATGTATTAACAGTAGATCTGTGAAGTCTTTTAAATCTATCGACAAAAACATTCCGCTACGCTTTCGATTGCGGGTACCATGAAGCTCTGTTCAGCTCCAATCGATCCTATAGAAGAGGCAAAGTAAACTGAGGATGATTTTCAACACTGACAGTTTTTTTCGCTGCTTGCTGGTCATCGACCCGCCTAATGGGTAGCTTCTTAGCTATCGTTAAGGTATTGGTCGTAAACCAGCGCACCTAAATCATGGCTGACTACCTTCGACAACTACAATAGTAAGTATAGACCGGATAACTAAATAGTTCTCGAACATTTTCTTATTAGGTTATCCAAAAATACTAGATAATTCCTACGTCATTAAAAATACTGAATAATAAGGTAATACTACGAGACATTCGAACAAGCCAGCATTTGAACAATTACTTTAACGTTAGCGGGATTCACAGACATCCGAGGTCCGTTCATAGAACGCTGCTTTCCTTGTTAAACAGAATCAATTATTATTATATTAATTATTAAATTGTATTAATTTTCTAAATATTTGACCATTCATGTAATAACCTGTTTGTGCTCGGAACGGCTCTTGCCTTCTACCTACTTTTCCACTGTTTAATGTAGGTACACATCTTTTTTAGTTTACAACCTTCAAACCCACCTGTACAAATCCGCATTTCGGTTTGGTCAGTCGGCAGAGCCACACGAAGTATCCGAGTTGAACTATTATTCAGCTCGCCTAACCGATATAAACTTTACATAGATAATCATTCAAGATCAATGACCAGTCGTTATTTCGAGTAGGTCTATCTTTCGTGGGGAGTCAGAGACGGGTTGTGTGCGAATAGATCCTTCAGGATAGCATACATTTCTGCCAAAGTGAGCTCTTTTAGTCTGATTTGCACAATAGATCTCTATGAAATGATGCTTGATTCAGCTTCCGTCCTATGAATCTAACTTTACCTCGTTTTGAAAGTGTTCGGCGCTCGACGTCGATTACATCCTTATTGAAACGATACCAATTCTCGATGATCTGTCCGTTGGGCGAATTGTATACGAAACCCAAAACCCGGGTCTGAAAATTATTTGTCATAAAGCTTTTCGGCAGCGCCAATCCGGATTATAACTAAATGAGCAGTTATTCAACGAAGTTGCTTTCTGTGATCGAAATTCAGCATGAATTTCTTATAAGGGATTTTGGCCCATCGCGAATTAACCACTCCTCTTCGCCTACAACGTAACAGTTACTAGACATAATGAATACTCGAATATATAGTAAAAACCTTAGTATTGAGACCTCATCATAGACATTAGGGTTTATCTGATTTTTATACCGTTAACTTTTCGCCGTTATCATACCGATAATAGATACCAGGTACTTTGAAAAATAAATGTACTTGCTAGCTACAGGCACACACACACACACGCTCTATAATTAAAGCTCCTTTAGCCTTTATTTGAAGCTTCTACGGAGGTTCTTCTATGCTAGCATATCTTTGTCCTTTCTATCTTTCATCGCATAAATATGATCGCTGACGCCAATATTTCCTGACGCTTTTAGAGATTTGGCTTAGTGCAACACTATTTCCTTCTGGGTAGTCTTGGTCCTTTGCAGGCCTATACGCTCCAAGCTAGTCCCAAAAATATTCATAACGTAATTAATAGCGCGTTAATATTGTACACTAATTATAGGCTGTATATTTTTACATGTACATTTTTTAAAAGAGTGAGTTAGGGTTATGAGCAAACGTCCTGTCTGGAATCGCTCGCGGTTTATGCTACTGAAAGAAACGTCTCTGTCCTTCAACTCCGTCTGGATTCGTCTGAGGTTGCATTGCAAGCAGTAAAATAAAAACCACAGGCATGTTGGCCTAAAACACTTCCACTCACAATCACGTCTAATGTATGTTGATCAACAATAGAATAGACACCTCGTAATCTCCAATGAGAGATCAAGCGCGATCTACAATTTCGCATTTTCGTTTCATATTAGTTCACATAGATTAGCCTAGTGCGATACTATATAGATACATATATTTGTATATATGTATCTATATAAGGTATAATATATACACTATATATATATTAATAGGGTACGGGCCTAGTTAGAACAAGCAACTTTGTTTAAACAGGCGTAGAATAAAGTTGTTTGTCCTCATCGACATTGTTTCCTTAGCTCGTAGTTTTTGGACTTCCCTTTCGTTATAGAAAGCGACCATTATTGTGACCTTGCGTTTCTGGGTATCCTTAGGTACGATTTGGCATCCAGTCAAAAGTAATTCGGGCAAACTGATCCATAGGATAAAAGGCGCAGATAATGCTAGTAACACGATAAAAAATAAGAAACATTATACGAGATAGATCCCACAGAGTATATAACGTATCTAATCTAGGACCATCTTTGAACTATGATTGCCAGTTTTAGACCAATCGCAGATCGTATATGGCTTGTTTTTCTAGCGAGGCACATAAATAGAGTCTGCAT